TAGGCAGAAACTACTTATTACATTTTACAGACTAAATAAACTCAGAGGCATGGATCCATGGATACATGTCAAAGAAAGTCCAAGGACCTCAGTGCAGCACACCTACCACATGTAAGTGTTTTCCTTGTGTTCAAAGCTGAATAAGAACAAACAAAACACAGAGCTAAGGCATAAAATATTAATTACTCTTTAGCACCTTTCCTGTAGCATTACACTCAAAATAACATAGGAATGTTTTTACCTGCAGCGCCTGGTATAACTCTTTCTGGGTAGAGATCAGTTAGGAACAGGCTGTTTATGAGAGTCGATTTTCCTAGACCTGATTCACCTTTAAATGAAAACAAAAACCTTGTCAAGACCTTATCCACATGACACCATTCAATCTCTTAAGTGTTTACACAAGGTCTGGGTACTGGGTTAAGTACCTCACAAACATCATTTTCTGTGTATTCCATACTCCAAATATCATTGTGTTTAGTACCTACAGTACTACTATGTTTGGAGTATGATCTTTGAGGGTACTCAAAGACTCCGTAACTTGCCCAAGGTCAGAGTACTATCCAGAGCAGGGTCATGATTTGAAGGTCTATGAGACTACAGAACTTGAACACCACATGATTAGAAACACAACTGTTCACAAATGTGAGGAATGTACTTTAGAGGTTGGCTTTTATTTTTGACAAACAGAATGCAAAGCAGGTTTTCAATGACCAGTTCTGCTAAACACTAAACTTACCACATTTTCAGAAAACTGAATGTATCTATCCTATCATGTTTCCTGAGCTGCAGGAAGGGGTGAGCAGGACCGGGCCTGTGGCCTGGTGGACTCACTTGTACACACTCACTCGAAACCTCCACCTTCTGCCACCCTGTCTCTTCCTGCTTCAAACTCACCCTGTTTCCCAGCAGTGGCAACTGCCACATGTCAGGCAACATTCCTGCTCACTTTGTTGAGTTCACATGACTATTTCAGGCGAGACTTGTCCACGTAAGCTTTCAATGAGGTGAGAATCCCTCTTCAATTATTGTAAGTACATATTCTGAATATTTGAAATTTTACTTCAAAAAAGATGCAAAATACCAAAAATTAAATTTTACATTTGAAGGAAGCACAGATTCCATTGCTTCATTGTAGGTTATCATCTAAGTCTTAAGTGTGCATGGAGAAGAGCTTCTGATCTTGGTATTATATAGTACTTGGTGCTGGAATGTCCCCTGGGCACCTTAAACCACCCTGTTAAGATCTGCAGAACACAAGGAAGGAGTACACATCTCTTTTAAAAATTATTATTCCTGGCTCAGCACAGTGGCTCACACCTGAAATTCCAGCACTTTAGGAGACCAAGGACAGAGGATCACTTGAGGGCAAGAATTCAAGACCAGTCTGGGCAAAATAGTGAGACCTGCCCCCAACTCTCAAAAAACCAAAACAAAATAAAAACCCCCAAGCCTTAGCCAGGTGGGGTGGCATATACCTAGAGTCCCAGCTACCTGGGAGGCTAGGGCAGGAGGACTGCTTGAGCCCACGTGTCAAGAGGTTACAGTAGGTTATGATCACACCACTGCACTTCAGTCTGGGTGACAGAGTGAGACCCTGTCCCTTCCAGAAAAAAAAAATTCTGGGAAAATCAAGAACAAAAAAGTGAATTTGAAATGTGCAGACAGGCCAGGCGCGGTGGCTCAAGTCTGTAATCCCAGCACTGTGGGAGGCCGAGGCGGGTGGATCACGAGGTCAAGAGATTGAGACCATCCTGG